TTTAGTTTGCTCGATTTGTAAACAAAGCTTCTCAGCGGTGAAAAANCTCATCCTCTGACGAATCGTAGAACCCCCGAACCTCGTTGTACTAATTTTTACCATGTTTTTATAAACTTGCTTTCTTTTTTATTTCATTTTAATTTGCATAAATTTACATAAATATGTATAAGCACACTATTTAGTTTGCTCGATTTGTAAACAAAGCTTCTCAGCGGTGAAAAAATACTATTGTGAACAACCTAAATGAGCGAAATTCACGATAGCGCTATTCTTCACCGAATGAGCGCCATAATAACAAATGAAAATTCGTTCGGTCAGCACTTTCGACCACAGTCGAAGATCGAATGCAACTCATAATAGGGGCCTTTGCTTCGTTTTGCTTTGCTTTGCTTCAAACGTTTTTTATGTGAGCATACTCATGCATATGCCTACATCGGATCTTATATGTCAAGGCAAAGAACTATCAAGCAAAGCGAAGAAAGTTGTATGTGAATCAGCCTTTAGTGTTCTAAAAATGGAAAATTCAAAACAATTTTACATTGCTATATTAAATATTTAAAATGTGCAATGTATATTGTTGCAAAGTGTCGCAACTCGTATATACAAACAGTTTTAACACTGCAGTATAACAGTATCCAAACATTGTATTGATACGTTTTGGAAGTCAGCCAGGTAATTTCTCACAGTCCATTTAGGTACTTTTCACCTGACATCGGACGAGAAAAACAAACATGTTTGAATTTATCATCACTGACGGACGTCAACGGCAGATATCGGTTCGGTTATCCGTTTATGTGTGCGAGCGCTCATATAATCACAAGGGTTTTTTCATGTCGCCCGCATATAGTCGACAACGGCCGAGCATAATTTTTGACAAATTAATTTATTTCCATTTGAAAACAGAATCATAATTTAATGTGAAGTGATGGACAATGTTTTCACTTCGCGTTTTCAGAGAATGTAGTCTGAGTGCTGTTTTCTGCACGCGTAGTTTTGTGCCTTGTTCCAACAAAAAATGGTTCCAGATATGGAACTGCGCTCCTCTGAGGCAAATAAGGGTAATCACCCTCTGAACCAGTGGATTTGTATGCACTAAAAGTTGGAATGTCCCAGTGTAACCTCTCTTTGCTTATACTACTTTCCCCAAGGCCTCTTGCCTTTTTGTTTGCACACACTGTGCTAACAGTGCTGGCGATAGCGCTTGGACGTTGAGGTATGCAACCTGATGAGAGAGTTTCCTGCAGAATCCTATTTGTATCTTCCGGCGTGTCAGTGAAGACCCCCGAAATCAGATAAAAATCTATATTGCGGGTTTTCGGACTAGTAATCAAGCCAAGATACTGTCGCGTGTTTGTAACTTTCGACACGGCTGCCTTTTCTATTAACATATACATATTTTAATTTAAATCATTCTAATTCTTTAGTTTTTCCTTTAAAAAAATTAAATTAAAGAGGCTGCAGTTTAGTTTTGTTTTACTTTAATATAATAATTAAACAATTTTAAACTCTTAAAATATTAGTTTATAATTTATGCATATACATACATATCTAGATGTAATAACAATAGCTAATTTTTTAAGTAGGATATTTAAACACAATCATGGGTTCGACCATACATACATGTTAATTATTTAAATAAATGAAATACAATTTAATATACGATATTGAACTTTCAGCTATTTATTGTACAATATGATTTTTAATTTAATATTTAAGTTTTTGATAATATGTATGTATTGCTCGCGTCTTTTAATGCATTTAATTTTTTCGGATGTATGAATGTTAGTATGTACATATACATACATATGTAATGTAACAAGTAAAGTCGGAATTTTAAAGCTCTTACCCCCTAGGATTATTTTATATCGAAAAAAATATACCCCTATGTTTTTATTTTGAAATCAAAAAATATTTAGAGGGCGCAAAAAGCGCTCAAAGTTTTCCATATATTTTATAGGGGAAAAAACAACTTTTCGTAGAAATGGTATGGAATTCTTGAAAATCCATATTTTTCGATCAGAGAACTGTGGTTCTCTTCAGGAGACTCCCAATAACAATACCCATTTGTTTATTTAATCATTTCTTTATTCCTTAAGATTTTTTATTTTTTCTCCGATTACAATTTCTGACATTTTCTGGGGGTTTTGGCGGACCTATAAAATATAGTTACTATAAAAAATGGTTAAATAAATAATTGGGTAATATTATTGGGAATCTTCTGAAGAGAAACAGAGTTTTGTCGATCGAAAAATATTGGTTTTCAAGAATTCTATACCATTTCTACGAAAAGTGGTTTTTCCCATATAAAACACATGGAAAGCTTTGAGAGCTTTGAGCAACCTCTAAATATATTTCGATTTCAAAATAAACAAGTAAGAAAGTCTAAGTTCGGGTGGAGCCGAACATTAAATACCCGGCGCAAGTATTAAATATATGTTTTTTCACCTTTCCGAAGGCTACCGCTACATGGTAAGCCGGGGTGTATCAATTTTGAGTAAATCAGCGTCCTTAAATTTCGAAATATTGAAGTTTCAAGCATTTCTGAAATTTACCGTTATATGAAAAGCGGCCGTAATTTTAGTCCGATTTCAATAATATTCAACATTTTTCTTTTATGTGGCAAGCACAATAACCATACCGAGTTTGGTACAAATTGTTATAACGGTTACCGAGATAAATATATGTGATCATAAGTGGGCGGTGCCACGCCCATTTTCCAAAATTTCATCATAAACGTATTTCCTGGTACAGAATTGTTGCAACCATCAATTTTGAATAAATTAGCTTTAATATTTACTGATTTATCGAAGATTTTGTATTTCTCTAAATTACCGTTATATGGGATGTGGGCGTGGTTCTTGTCTGATTTAAACAATTTTCGGCCATTTGGTACATTATACCAAGGCGAATAACTGTGCCAAGTTTGGAAGAAATTGAAAATTTATAATATTATTATTTTTCGTCTGAAAATTATTGTAAATATCAATTTTGAGTGAATTATCGGCAGTAGTTACTAAAATATCACAGTTTACTTACTTCTGGAAATTACCGTTATATGGGATGTGGGCGTGGTTCTTGTCTGATTTAAACAATTTTCGGCCATTTGGTACATTATACCAAGGCGAATAACTGTGCCAAGTTTGGAAGAAATTGAAAATTTATAATATTATTATTTTTCGTCTGAAAATTATTGTAAATATCAATTTTGAGTGAATTATCGGCAGTAGTTACTAAAATATCACAGTTTACTTACTTCTGGAAATTACCGTTATATGGGAAGTGGGCGTGGTTGCAGCCCGATGTCGCCCATTTTCAATACCAACCTACCTTGGATAAATGGAAACCTACATACCAAATTTCGTTGAGATATCTCAATTTTTGCTCGAGTTATCGAGTACACGGACGGACAGACAGACGGACGGACAGACCGACATGGCTTAATCGATTTCTCTATTCATTCTGAGCATTTATGTATACATTTGTCTATATCTATCTCGATTCGTTTTGGCTGTTAGAAACAACCGTTATGTGAACAAAATTAATATACCCTTATGCACAAGTGCGCTCGGGTATAAAAATAGTGGTATATTTTTTCGGTATAGAACAATCCTAGGGGGTGAGAGCATAAAAGTTCCGACTTTACTTTTTCACATGCATTTTTGGACCACCCTAAAGTACATGTGTCTGTATGTATGCATGCATGTATTTATGCACTAATATACATATGTATGTACGTTATCAAGCTTTTAAACAAGCTTTTTAATTAATTGTTTGTATGTACTATGTATGTAGTATGTACGCTCATGTACTACATTTATAATTTGTAACTAAATCATATGACTTTATTCTATGATATATATACATGACTGTATGTGGAATCGTAGTGGCATGCGTAGATCGTCTATATATGTATGTATGTATGTATGTATGTGTGTAAATACACTCGTTTTTATATTTATGACCCTACAAGAACAGTGATAGTTATTTGATTAATCATGTATAACTCATCGGTGATGGGAGTCTCCATCAAACACTCCCATCACGACTTTAAGGCCAGTGTGCAAAAAATGATGAAAACAAATGTATACATGTGTTTTTTTTATCTACTTTCAACTTATGGCCTTATTTAATGGTCTCCTTTTAACCAACGCAAAATTTGCAATGGCTTCCCTACAAGAATTGTGTGATGGAAACTAACACAATCTCATTTATCTTACTAACCCATTTGCAAATTTTGCGTTGGGTAAAAAGAGACCACTAAATAAGGCCATGAGTCGAAGGAAGACGGAAGATCACATGTACACAAATGTTTACATCACGTTTCGCATATTGCTCTTAAAAAGTTGATAGAAGTACTAGATTGAGATCTCCATCACCAGTGAGTATCACATGATCAATCAAATGACTATCACTACATGTAGGGAAGTTTATGTTGGATTTTATATGTGTGTATGTACATTAACTTCNAGTAAGATAAATGAAAATGTGTTAGTACCAATCACTAAATTCTTGTAGGGAAGTTTATGTTGGATTTTATATGTGTGTATGTACATTAACTTCTGCTGATTGGATTACATGTGTTTACAATTAGATTTTAGAAAAAGAAATAGGACAATAAAAAATAACATATAATATACACAAGTACCTACATAAATACATATGTATTTGTATAGAAGAGAAGAGGCGTTTAGCAAAAAGTAATTGGTAGGTGGTACATACATATTATGTATTTAGGTAGTAGTTAGTTAATTTCGGATATATGTATGTATGTTGAAAAATGCTTGAATGTTTATATGCCTCGCTATTTTTAAGTGGAATAATTAACCTTATTAATAATATTGACAAGTGAGATTGTAAATAATCAAGTTTATGTATGTACGTAATCATATCAATTTGTTAGCTCACTTACTATACATACAGATGAACGTATGTAATTTAAATTTTAAGTATACATATATGCATATGCCTATTTGAATATTATACATATATGTATGTAAGTATGTTTTGCTTTTGCGCTCGATTAGATCTGTTGGTTGGCTGGTCTCTTATGTTTCGCAAATCTTACTGCCTTATTCGAATCTAATGTTCAGTCTAAAAATAGGTAATGAAACATTTTTAGAAAAAATACCTAAAAAAAGTTAATAAATGCAAACTCACATCGAACCATTTCCGAGGAAAGAGAGTTGAGAGTGTCTTCCACTGTTGCTTTACGACGGTCAATTTTTGATGTGTTAATAGGTGAAAAGTTTTCTGTAAAGAAATAATTTATTAAATAACGGAAATATCTTGTAGCTATGGGCAATACCTATATCACCGCTAGAACTTGAATCTGTAAAGCTTGGTGTACCCTCTGTCCAAGTGGGCGTCGAACCCTCCCCAGAAGCGGGTGGCGTCCATGCCAAACCTCCACGTGATCCATATTGACTACTGGATGATGTATCTACAGCCAAATATGTGTCTAAGTGTATTTCAGAAATGCTAAAATTGTACATAAAATAAATGCTGTTGTAAAGGTGCGTAATTGCATTAATTTTCTAAAGCTAACTAAACGATGAAGTGCATAAAACCGAATTAATTAAGGCAAACAAATTATAATATGTAGTGCTAACTTTGATTTCAATATTTTGTATTCGCATACATTTAAAGAACAATGGCGATTAAATAAATTCACTACGTTATGTATGTATATCAGGGCGGTTAAATTTTTTCCAACACCCAGAACTAATTTTAATATGAAAGCGGTTACCATTCAAGCTTATATTTTTGAACAAAATTAGTTTTTTTTGTAGAATTGCTATACATTCGTTAAAATAAATATTTTTTGATCGAATAACAATATTCCCTTCAGAAATCTTCAAACACTGAAAATATAATGCATAATTAAAAATATGTAGTTGTAAAATTTTAGACTGAATATTGATCATAACCTTGTTTTGAAGATTTCTGAAGCAAAATGTTCCAATAGAGTAACTAAAAATAGAAAAATTCAAGGCCACGGCAAAACCATTAAGAAATTTAAGAAAATTTTATTTAATTTTCGTGTGTATTTTTGAACCACCCTAATGCACATACATTCCACATAAAGTGCCCTTATTTATTTTCATTTCATTTATTTCATAAAGCCAATGAACAAAATTCTTACTGACTATTTAAAACTAGAAATTAGAAATTACGAACAGAGAAGATTTTGAAAACTTAAACATAAACAAATTAACAAATATCAAAATAACAAAATACAATAATGAACAGAATATAACAAAGAAATAAAAGACTTTTTGGATAATGAGAAACCAAGGCCGACAGAATTCGATATCTCGTTGAATTCATAGAGGAGCATTCCTTGCATAATTAGTTTTGACTTTATTCGGATAGAAGGGATTAAAGTTGCGTAGAGTTCTCAGTGGAACAAGAAAATTGATATTATGCAACAAGGATGGGCAGTCAGCAGTCCCATTAATTATATCAAAAACAAAGGAAAGCGGAAGAATAGTTCTTCTCGTTTCTAGAGGCTGGAGATTAACAAGAAGCAAACGTGAATTGTAAGAAGGTATAGGATCAACGAATTTCAGAGAACGAAGAGCAAATTTCAGGAAAACCTTTTGCACACGTTCAAGTCTGTCAATAGAGAATTGTGAAAATGGTCTCCAAATAAACGCAGCGTATTCCAGTCTAGATCGAACAAAAGATGAAAAAGGCAGCTTTAGGGTGTAAGGGTCCGCAAAAGTTGAACAGTTTCGACGAATAAAACCTAAAGTCGAATAAGATTTCGAAACAATGAAATTGATGTGACTATTGAAAGAAAAATTAGAATCAAATATAACTCCAAGGTCTTTAATTTATTGAACAGACTTTAGTATTGTATTCGATATAGAGTAAGAGGTATGCATAATGTTACGAACTTTTGAAAAAGTAATATGAAAGCATTTATTTATATTTAATGGGAGGTGAGACTATTGACACCAAAAAATCAGTTTATCTAACTCTGCTTGAAGGTTAGCCGCATCGGTAGCATTATTTACCACGGAGAATATTTTTAAGTCGTCAGCATATAATAAAAATCTGGCAACAGAAAAGCAGTCACTTATGTCATTTATATTTAAAACGAAAAGAAGAGGACCCAAAATACTTCCTTGCGGAACACCTGAAGAAGCAGTGAAAGGTTTCGAGGAAACGCCATCAGCAGTTACCATGCAACATCTGTTGCTTAAGTACGATTTTAACCATCGTAGGAAAACGGAATGAAAGCCCAATTTAGCAAGTTTATTTAATAAAATATTATGCGAAACTTTATCGAACGTTTTCGAAAAATCCGTATAAATACAATCTACTCTAGACCCCGCTGAAAATGATTTTATGCAATATTCGCTGAACACTGCTAGATTGGAAATTGTAGAACGGCAGGAAACAAAACCATGCAAAATACATTTTATCCTTTATTATGCTTTCCAAAAGTTTGGAGACAGATGAGAGTTTTGAGATGGGTCTGTAGTTACAAACATCATTCTTTTTTCCACTTTTGAATATTGGTGTGATGGTTGTCAATTTCCAATCATCTAAGAATATGCCCGAAGATAATGATTTATTAAACATCAGTTTAAGAGGGCTAATAACCGATATCAGTTTGACTAGATGGCTTTAGACTTAAGATTCCATTAGATATATCATCTGAAGAGAGACTCAAGTTGCCAAAATTTATCGAGGTAGAATGTTTAAAAGAACAGGGATTACCAGAAACTTGGGAGGAAACATCATCAGGAACAAAATTGGACTTGAAAAATTTGGCAAACAAATTGGCTACTTAACCGGGCGTACTTACGAAAACCTCACCAAGACATACAGAGGAAGGAACCACAGAGCAAGACTTAATATGATGCCAAAAGTTCTTGGGATTTGACTTGATATTCGACTCAACTCTAAACATATAATTTTTATGTAGAAATTTTTCTAAGCAGTTAAACTGTTTTTGATAAAATTGATGCTTTAAAGAGAAGAATTGCTTTTTGGTTTGTTTAAATTTCTTATAAAATTTATTGCGCTTATTTTTGAGTGATTTTAATTCACTAGTATACCATGGGAGTTTATACGGCTTATTTTTAATTATAGGAATATTGTTATGAAAGATTTCAAGTAGCCGACGTTTAAAAACTCCATAGCACTTGGCAACATTAACCCCAACAAATAAATCTTCCCAATGGATATCGAGTATAAGTTTATTAAGTTTTGAAAAATCACAAGAGGAAAAATTGAACGAAAGCCTCTCATCGGGCTTGGAGATTTTAAATTCATAAAACTCCACTTCAACTGTTAAAGGAAGGTGGTGCTTGTCTAGAGTTGAAATTGGTGAAAAAAATTGAGAAATAGTAACACTGATATTGTCACTAACGAACACGAGATCAAGAATTCTTAAGCTTAAGACACGAATGAAAAAAAAATTACCAGAAACGAGCTTGTTAATGCTGTCAAGCGACGTAAAAAATTAATGGTATTCACCAAAGTGAGCAAGTGGCCTAGCAGTCTGACAAAAGAGCAGATCAGGGGCTGGATTCTGTAACGGTGAGTAAATGTAGTGTACAGCGACCAAAAACTCATGGAATAAAATTCAGTGAGTTTTTCGGAAGAGAAGTGTACACAATTTTGACAGTTAAAACCAGTTAAAACTCATTCTCACACCTGCTGAATCGCAAAATGAGGAAGTGTACACAATTTTGACAGCTAAAACTCATTCTCACATTTCATGAATCGCAAAATGAAGAGTGCACACAAACCCTTGCCCTTGAAAACTCGTACTTTCAGAATCCAGCCCCATGATACCTATTCTCAAACCAGTTAGCGACAATATTCGGATCGATATCGCAAGTAGCTGACGCGTGTTATGAATGTTGAAAGGTTGCGATGGCGATACGATATTTGTCGCTAACTCGTTTGAGAATAGCCTCACAGCTCAAGCAACGAATGTTGACAACAGTCGTTGTTTGAGCTGTGAAGCTCACCTGCTCTTTTGCCCGAGTGCCAGGCAAATTGCTCAATTGGTGAGTACCACTATTGTATTCGAAAATGAGATACAAATACATGAGGGGCCCATAGTTTTTGAGATATTTAATTTTATCAAGAATCTATAATATATATGTATATAAATGAAATGTTTTTCGTATGACGGCGATGCCTGAGCAAGCGGCTGAACCGATTTCAATTCTGAAAAAGTACTATGTATGCAAGTGCTATGTAAAAATATTTGTTATCTAGAGGCGAGCGCCCACTCGTGGGTGTCACCATAATATTTATAACTTTAGAACTACATGTTGTCTAAACATGAAACTTTCCCAAAAATGTCCGTATATATTTGACTAAAGTTCTGCATTAAAACAAAACAAAAATTTTAAACTAAATAACACAACTTTTGCATTTGTAAAAACCACCTCCTTAGTTTTTATAAAAAATTTAAAATATCCGCCATTTTGTTTTTAATAAGTATTAGAATATTATCTAGTTTATTGTGTACAAATTTCAAATCAATCGATACATAAACGTCTGAGATATAGCGAGTTTAAGTGAAAATTTCGCAAAAATTGGCCGCTGTGAAAAATCAGGTTTTGTGGTTTTTACGTCATAAAGGCATGAGTAAAAACTTAGTTAAAATTAACTTTAAATGTATTTTTGAATAAGCTATCAATAACAATTCGTTTGAAATCGCTTCTCTTCACTTCAATTTTATGTTTTTACGCTGTCTGTTGTTTTCGCTGTTGTTGTCGCCCAAACTTTGCGAGAAGAATAACGGACCTGCGCATTGCGCAACCTCTTATATATAAACGTTTGATCCAACGTTTTCGCCGGCAATTCACGTTAACGTTTGGTTTAGTGGTCGACAGAAGGCATATCGTCCATTGCCGTCTTAAATAACCTGACGAAAGCGTTATACCGAGAAGAAGTCCTTGCGGCTCGATAGTGAATCGTCCTTGAATCTGTATAGTATAATTGGTGGCAATTTCTAAACTGGTGAGTATCATTGGTCCACATTCTGTTTAGTCACCGTGAAGCAAGGGCCGCAATGTTTCTGATGGTTGATTTAACGGGAGTAATTTGACTTTGTGCCCAATCCACAAGAAAGGTGACCCCGCCATTCGCGCCAACTACCGCGGGATCAGCCTTCTAAGCATAGGTTACAAGCAGAGACCGAAAATAATTATTATCCTAATATTCAGGATCAAAAACGTCGCCTTGTTTTAAGAGAAATTTTTTTCACCCTTGTATAATAATTATTTACGAGAAATAACTTTTTTCGTCTCGCGGGACGATTATTTCAAGACGAATATTATTTACGTCTTCTCATAATAATTGTATGGGCTTTTTATTTTTTTTCGTCTCTCGGGACGTTTATTTCAAGAGGAATATTATTTACGTCTTCTCATAATAATTATATGGGCTTTTTTATTTTTTTCGTCTCTCGGGACTTTTATTTCAAGACGAATATTATTTACGTC